AGTAAAGTGAGGCGCTGTAATTGGGTTTTAGCAATTTATGTAAAGAATAGTTTTTAATGCTTGATTGTAATTTAGATGTCTAAAAAACTCGAAGAAATTAATATGATGCTTGCTATCAATTTAAATATTTAATTTTTTTTACAAATAGTTTAGGGATTATATATATATATATATAATAAATTAATTATTTAAAATGTTTTTTTCGCTACACAGTTCTAACCATGTTTCAAAATGGAAGCTGAAAGCTCCGAATTAAATTAAAGACATTAGTTCCATTTCATCCTCAACCAGAAAAATTCGCTTGAGGATGAAATGGAACTAATGTCTTTAATTTACTTCCATTTTTGAAACATGGTTAGAACTGCGTAAAGAAAAAATTTTTTTCAATTAATTTATAATATTAATGCTCTGGATGCCACAATGAGCACTATTTTGTAAAAAAATAAAAATATCTATAACACCGGATTATATATCTTATTCTTCTTTTTTTTTTTTATATATATATATATATATATATATATATATATATATTACAGACAGTTTCACCCTGTATAAAAACCTGGGGCACTCGTGGTAGAAGTTTACATTAAGGGGAGGGAGTTTTATACGGATAGGAGGGGAAGACAATGGTTAACTTTAGAATTTAACTGGTTAAGATTGTTGTGATCGGGAAAACATCCTCTTGGGAGTTGGTTCCACAGAGTTCACTGTTCGAATGAAACTTATTTCTTACCGATGTAATACAGAGGGAATATGAGTGGTTTGCTACAATATAAATTTCACGACGGGTCCTAGCCGTGAATGTTAGATATGGCAGGACCAAGGAAAAAAGGCTTGACACATCTCGCCTGTAAGAACACCTTCACAGAAAATGAGATACTTGAGGTTTAAAATGAATTTTTAAAAATTAATACTATTTTTTGAAGCTTTGATTTTAGTTTTAATTTCAAGCTAATTGATTAAATATAATATTTCCAATGAGGAAGATACGTTGCTGTATTTCAAAACTAATTTAAATTGACTGGAAGGAGTTTTCGTTTTGAAATCAATAACATTGCTAATTTTAGTGCAATTTTTGGCCTTTTATCGCCGCAATGTACCTCTTTATTAAAATGGTATTTAAAAAATAAATAAACTTTTCTGAACTTTATTTGAGGAATATTAGCTGATTTAATTTTTAATTATGCTGATTTTTAAACAAATTTTCCTTACTTTAAAATATCATAGAAATTCATTTTTTTTTAACACGGCGATAAACTGTTCCATGCTGACAGCTTGTCTCAGAGACAGAAGTTTATCTAATGTTTTTCTATGGTGAGCACATTTTTATATAATTTCTAACTATTCAGTAATCTTAAAAATTTAGGAAACTATTCTTCATAATCTAATGTTTTGTTGAATTTTAGGTACTTCGGCTTTAGTTTTGTTGTAATGATCATTAGGTGTTTTTCAAATGTTAATATTTTCTCTCTCCTTTTGTATATATATATATATATATATATATATATATATAAATCTATTGAGGGATCCCCCATCTATTTTAATCGTTATGCACATCCTTTTTATTTCTTGATATGTTTCTGCTCAGCTTCAGTTTTTTATATTTTTTCGATCCATCACTTTTTGACAAATATATATATATATATATATATATATATATATATATAGTTTTAAAACTAGGAATTTATTGATTTTAATTTTATTAGTCTCTAAGGCCCTTTCAACCAACATCTCATCAGGAGACAATCGCTGGATAATTAATTAACGAAAAGAACAGTAACGAAAATAAAGATCAAAAAAAAAAAAAAAAAAAAAGGTGGGGGAACACGCTAAAATAACAAACAAGTGTATATATATATATATATATATATATATATATATATATATATATATATATATATATATATATATAAAAGAAAAAGAAAAGAGGCCCGCAAACGTGTTTGACTATACTGTGGATTTTTTTATATATGATAGTTGATTTTCCATATGGAAAATAAATCATAATCACTCTCGGGTCTTTGTGACTGAATGGTTAACATAAAATCAAATGTTAGTTCCCATTGAGGTTACAGGTTCGATTCATATTATATATATATATATATATATATATATATATATATATATATATATATATATATATTTTCTACGAAAAATTTTTCGAACACTCAGGCCAGTATATGTAATTAATACTGTTTATTTAAAAACAGATCATTTATTCAATAAATTTTATCTATTAAAATAAAGTATAAACAAAAAATATATTAAATAACTGTCGGACTTAATCCATTTTATTGTTTGTAGTTATATATATATATATATATATATAGCTGGACACCCGTATTCAAGGATACCTGCCTAATAGGGCGGCTAGCCTATCCCTATTGCAAATCCTTGCTCAGGCGCATTTGTATTTATTCAGCACACACAGACCCCACTTGTGGTTTATACTGCAACTTTGCTGAGCAGACCTTAGTTACAGTGTCTGGGAAATAGCATGTTATCTAGCGTGATCAACAATTTGAACAAAGCCAGCACGAACAAAACCTCGCCCACGATGACTTGTGACTTCGTGCTAACTCAGCTATCGAAGGCACCCAAGGATATATATATATATATATATATATAAACAAACTGGACAAAGTTTACTTGTGATGCGTTTCACCCGTTAGGTCTTCATCCGTTTGTTGGTATTTTTAGGACTATAGATGCGCACGAAGGAGAGATACTGGTAGTTTCACAATTTTTTTAAATAACAATTTTTTTTTTTTTTTTTTTTTTTTTTTTTTGCAATCTAATCAAATCCATCTATATTCTTTTTCTTTCCATCATCTTTGTTTTTAAATATCCCACATTGTTGTGATAACAGAAAATCTCCCAAGAATTGTGAAACGTTCTAAGAACCCGAGCACAAATTTTCTGTGGCTGAACTAACAATTAAAGAACTTTAATTTCTGGTCAGTTACGTTATTCTATCAATTATTATAGGTTTGCCAGAAAGAATACATTGGAGAAATACACGCTTAGGCGATCATGTATCTTTCGATACATGACTGACGAGGCAGTAGGTTGCCATTTCTTTCTGCGGTAGACCACTTGTCGTCCAGAGCTACAGAACCCGGTCTGTCATGTTACTTACCCATAGAAGAGATTAGCACGTAAGCGAATGTAATAAATTCAACTGGGATTCGAACTCGGTTCTCCGATTCCTCAATCCATTACTCTACTTTGCTCCCCTTCTTGTGAAACCTCAAGAAGTTTAAACAAAAGACTATATAACACAAAAGAGACAACAACACACAAAACGCATTGTTTGTTCACCGTAACGAAACTGACCACAAATTTGACCACAGTTAATGGGAGGAGCCCAAGCGTGTGCACGCGGGCCAGGTCCTAAAATAGTCCAGCCTCTACAACCGTCGTTTGCCCTGTATTACTATCGATGCCCTCTCTTTTGTGTAATGAGGAAGGTAATCCAGCGGGCAGTTGTTTCCGGAGACCGGGCAATTCTCAATATTTCCAGTTGAGCTCTGGCCACAGACAGAGACACAAATAAGTTGCGCGCAATCCGAAAACAGAGGCACAACTGAAGGATGAAATGTAGTTTATCTTTCCGAGCGCAGATACTACATTTTGATCCCAGCCAAACGGCAGCAAAGCAATGGCGACGGCTATAAAAATGCCATTTATATGACGCAGTGTATCGAACCACGGAAACCGAGTTTGGCAATCGCCAAAAATCCAATTACCATAAATTAAATAACATCGTCTACTAATAAATGATCATAAGAAAGGGATATGGCTAGTGTTGTGTTGTGACCTAGGGAAGGTTACTGAACAGAATAATCAAACGAAGGTTGGTAATGAACGATAATACTTAGGACAAGAACAACATATATAAGATTCGCCAGTGGCGTGTAGAAGTAGTAGTCAACTGCTAGAAGTGAATCAAGTGAATTCCACAATGACTCTCCAGCTGCAGGGTATCTACCAATCGCCCCGCGCGGTCAGGTGCGGCACAAGACAGAATTTAATGTAGGGTATCCGAGCCCATAGGTTCAGCCCCAAATTACTCGTAGACCACGTATAAAAAAAGGAGTCGGGTAGCTGTTTTCCGAGACGAGACTCGGCCCTTCGACATTGCCTCCGGGCAGAGAGGATCCCCAGACGAGGCTGAGTGTTTGAAATCTCCAACTGCAGATCAACATACAGTATTTACTACTGTATTTATGCGAATGGAGATAGACCCATTATCGTCCGTAGGTATGCTACAAAAGATAGAAAGAAACAAGATGAAAGTTTTTAATGTCCCAGAATCGTTGCTTGATTGAACATTGCTCTACTTATATGCCCTTACAACTTACCTTGAATGGTTCTTGGACCTTTTATTGTGTGAACAAGACAAGAGTAAGAATTTAAAAAAAAAATGCATTTATTGTCTTGAAGATTATCATTTAAAAGCCTTTCATTGGTAAAGATTAAATTCCACTCAGAGATCTTCTTCACCAGCATTGTTGGATGATTGAACGGACCCCTGAGTGCATGCTTCCCTGAACACTACAAGGTTAATTGCTTCTAGTCGAGTGTCAACCGTTAAATTCTTATAATATGAAATTATTTCTTATGTGTACGCCCTTACAGCATACCTATTTAGTATAACTCTAGATTGAATTGTTCTTGGGGCTATTATTGGGTAAACAAGACTTAAAAAAAATCACTGTTTTTATTGCTTTAAAGATCAGCATTCGAAAACCTGCGGGAAAGTATTTAGCGGGTTGCGTCTATTTTGGTGCTGTAATCTACTGTAAATTGAAAGCAAAGTTGATAATGCATTTAGATATTCATACAAAGATTAAGACCAACGAAAACAAAATAAAAAATGATAAATTTTCGAAAGATTCGAAGAATTTATTCTTTCAATCGATCGAAAATTAAACACTAACATAAATTCTTTTATTCTTGTTATTCTTTTGAATCACTGTCGTTTTTATTTATTTTATATGTTTTCATTTTATTCACGCATTTTCTTCCTTAATTTCTGTTTTTTTTTTTCTTTTTCTGGCTACAGATACTTCGAAATGGTGAGCTTTTGCCAAAGGGCGATTTTCTTTACTTTTATTTTATTTTATTTTTTTTTTTGTTCCAAAGATCTAAGACATCACTCTCCTCGATTTCAAATCTGATTCATAAAAAGCAGTTCTAGAAAAACAGCTTCCTCTTCGTTGAATACGCCTGCTGCACTTTGAAAAATGGCGGATTCTTCGTGATGCGAAATTTTCAACATTTGGTAGTCATTTTTTTTTCTTTTTAAGGAAAAAAAAAAGAAAGAAACAACGTCTTTCGTGCAGGGTGAAGATATAGATGATGTCATATTCTTGATTTTCGCTCAAGTGGCGTCATTCTTCCAGTAATCGTCGATCAAGTTATCTTCGATCAGTCAATGTTGGAGCAATCAAGGGAGGTGACTCAACGAAACTGCTTATAGATTCCTTCATGATCGGAGCTTATCAAAAGACAACATTTTCGCATGTCGATAAAATTAGGGGTTACTTTTTTCCTGTAATTATGAGAAGCTTTACAAGAACAGACGATTTATCTTTCTTTGGAAGATCCCGGTGAATATCGGCAAAGTTATGCAAGTATATGCAAAGAAAGTCAGGGCAGTTAAAAAATGAAAGCGAATGAATGTAATTTAGAAATAGTTATAACAGGCACTTATGGTGGAGCGATAGATAGCCAGTTTGACTCACAATCCGCCATGTTTACGAATATCGAGTTCGAACTTTGCGGATGCCACCACACTAATTGTCTTGGGTCAGATTAGACATTATTATTCGTGGCTCTTCCCCATTTCCTCTCCCTTGAACCTCTCAACAACCTTTGCCATTTGCGAAACCGACGAGCCCTCGTTATGCCATCCATTCACACAAGCTCGTCAGGTAAGGTGCCCACTGCCTTACAATGACCCTTTTGTCATCGATATGCCCCGTGAATATCAAATTCTCCAAACCCTACTTCCTCATTATGTGTCCCAGATTTTCTTTTTCTGTTCTTACAGCATACGTTTCCCTTCTGTTTCCATAAAACTTCTTCGCTATTACGCGCTCCGACTATAGTATTCTCAGCATCCTTCTGTAGAACCACATTCCTGTTGCCTCCAGTTTTCTGAGGAGATTGTCATGTATTCACTGCCATATAAGAGGATTGATATTACATCGCGGTTCTGCCCTATTTGTTGCTAACGAAAATTTCCTGTCACTCAGTACTTTGCTTAATTTCTGGGAGGCTTCTTTTGCTGTTCCATTGCGCGTTCGGAATTCGATCTCACATTTTTCCATCCTCAGTTAAAACATTTTTATTATTAAAAATTCATTTTAAATATTAGTTAACTCATTTTCATGGCGGTCCCGATATAAAAAATAATTAAATGCTTCTCTAATTAAATACTGTCTTAGTTTTATTACGTTTTTTTTTTTTTACTTCTCGATTCAGAGCTGATTTTCGGTAAGACGGGGTCTGATTTTGCAAAAAAAAAAAAAAAGAAAAAAAAAAGGGTGGTTTAAATTCTTCAAAGAATTCTGCTTTTAGCTAATATTGTCACTAAAAATGGTCTCGTTGACTTTCGCAAGTTTTCATAAAATTAAATAAGGAGCTGAAACACATGTAAACAAAAAATGTGTATACCAAGATTTTAAAAAAAAAATTGAAAAATAATTTTATTCATTTGTGAATAAGTACTGAAAATTTCATTAAAATCCGACAATTATTTGATATTTGCAAGAATTTCCAAATTAACATTTTCCAGTTAGTTAAACTTCTGTACTTGTTTTATGTTGACATTTCTAGTATGCAATTCGCATCTTCGGCTGTTTTTCTTGCTGACAACCATATATTGTCTTCTTAAAGTTGATGGTTAGTCCTTTACTACAGAATAGATTACGCAAGGCAAATAATGAGATTTCTCCATTTCTACTGTGTACTGGATTTGGTGTCTATAGATTTAGCCTTGTGCAAGGATCAGCTTAATACATTTAGAACAAATATTTCCATTAGTTTCGGTTTTAAAATTTCCTTCTTGAATATAAGAATATATAACACTTAATATCTAGATAATTATATATAAAAAAAATAAAACTCCATTACTACTTCCAGCATATATTTCTCAACGCAGAATGAAAAACGTACAAAATCCATAAGACTAAAAAAAATACAATCGACAACAAAAATACTAAGTTTGTAATTCTACAAACTCCACTGGCTGAAGTTGTAACGCATTTAATTATTTCAAACGCAAAAAATTATAACCACTAACTCCAAAACAAAATTTGGTCAGTAAAAAAAAAAAAAAAAAAAACAGAATCGACAACGCAGTGAAAACTGGAATAAGATAAACTGCTTTCAATGCCGTATAAAATACACAGGTGAGATATCAAGAAACATAAAAAACCAACATACAAATGCACTGAGTGTGTTTTAAATTTTAAGTTCCTTTAGTGTTGGTATATACATTTCATTAAATTTCGGGATGTTTCGGTGATATATTTGGGGGATGAAGAGTTTTCTTTCAGAATCGCACATTCTTCAAATAATTAACTTGGAAATAAATTATATCAATCTTAAAAATAAAACAGTTTACAATGGCATAAATGTATAACAAAGGTCTAACTAATTCATAAATAAAAGTTTATCAAATATAATTGAAACAATGGAAGCCAAAATACATTTCAAATGCAAAACAAAAAAGACAGTATTGCCTGAAGAAAAAAAAAATTCAACAAAAAATGAATTTTTACAAATTTTTTTTTCATTTTATTAGGTTGGTTCAAAAATAATGACGTAATAATGTCGTTTTTTGACGTATTTTTTAACGTCAAAAACCGACATTATTACGTCATTATTTTTGCACCAACATAATATTTTTTAATTTTAATTAGAATAATTTATAATATTTTTAAATCTTTTAAAATTCAGTTTCAATGGTGTAACTCTTAGGAAAGATTGACGTTACCTAAAACTTTATTTACTAATGGTATATCGTAAAGCTTATTACAATCTGAGATACACGAATATTTTAAAAAGAATTTTGAATTGTTTTTGTATGTGTAAAAACATACCGAATTTTATAGTTATGGTTTTAGAACTAAAACTCTATAAACATTAGATTACGGAGAATATTTTCTTAAATTTTTATGATTACCGAGTTCGCATTATATTTCTCAATTATTTTTTAAGGTTAAAGCCCCCGTAGAACAACATTACATAACAAACTACCCGTCATTGGCCGTCAAGGTGTTAAAACCCTGTCAACATAAATAAACAGACTACCGTCGAGTTGAAAAATGCAATTCTTTATTTTAAATTAAAAAAAATAATAGTTATTTCAAATCAGATTAATTATACTTTTAAATCATCTAATATTCTTCAAATAAAATTTCAGAAAAGTATATTTAATTTTTGGAAGATTTTTTTAATAAAGAGATTTAGATTTTTGTAACACTTTGCTAAAAATGGTGCAAAAATCAAAAAAATTAGAAATTTCAAAAAGCCATTATTTTCAATCTTTTGAAATTATTTTTGAAATGCAGCATAGTATTTTGTTTCTTGGACCCATTAAACTTAATCTCTCAGCTTGAAATTAAAACTAAAATAAATGCTTCAAGAATGATTTTTCATTATTAAAAATTCATTTCAAATATTAGGTATCGCGTTTTCATGGCGGTCCCTAAAAAATAATTAAATGCTTCTCTAATTAAATACTGTCTTAGTTTTGTTACGTTTTTTACTTTTCGATTCAGAGCAGATTTTCGGTAAGACGGGATTCTGATTTGAAAAAAAAAAAAAAAAAAAAAGAAAAAAAAAAGTCTTTAAATTCTTCAAAGAATTCTGCTTCCAGCTAATATTGTAACTAAAAATGATCTCGTTGACTTTCGTAAGTTTTCATGAAATTAAATAAGGGACTGAAACACATGTAAACAAAAAATGTGTCCACAAAGATATAAAAAAAAATTGAAAAATAATTTTATTCATTTATGAATAAGTACTGAAAATTTCATTAAAATACGACAATTATTTGATATTTGCAAGTATTTTCAAATTAATGTGTCTATCACAGCAAAAAAGAAGCTAAAATTTGCAATGCTAAAAATTAATACATTAAGAAGTATTTTTTAATCAATTTCGAATTTTCTAAAAAGGAGTAAAAAAAAAAAATCATTAAATATTCGAAAAATACATTGATCCTTCCCCTTAATAATAACAAAGATTTTGACACTAAAACTATGTTTTCATTATGTTTGAAGCCTGTTTCATCACTGTATGCTGATTTTTAGGAAAATCGTGGAAGTACCTACATAAAAGGAGTTGTATTTTAAAGATTGGCAGTAAAAAGTAAACAAATAAATTTGATAAAATTTGAACTCAGTTAACTTGATTTGTATTCCACTTTTCTCTGCCTCTCTCTCTCTCTCTATATATATATATATATATATGCATGCTGGATTTCACAGCTCTAGCATCACTTCTTTAAAGTCAGCATATGAACTGTTCAACCCACCCTCGTAGACAAAAATGACGCAGTGGCCGAAGAGGAGCTGGGTACTAAAAAGACGTGCAGTTTAATAGAAAAATAGTCCTTAAACTGGTAATCGATTTAAATTGTAGTGTGTTCGATCCTCACGGGGTTAAACGCTCTTTTGGTAGTTTGCCAGACGAACAGAGTCGACTGGATTCTCAAGCCTTGATTGGCAACAAGTCTACAAGAATTCAACGAAGTCGAGATGGCAACGGATAACTACTCCATTATTGTCTATTTTCCCAATAATTAATGCCAATTTACAGATACTAAAGATAGGAAATCTGTAGAGAGCCATTACCCTACCTACATCCTGAATGAATATGGTATTAAAAAGTCCATCTGATGCTTGAGGTCGACTTAAAAATACCTGTGGAAGGAACATTTTGGACAGACTGTTTAGGCTAGCAAAAGATAATTATAAACCAAAATATACATATACCCATTTCAAAAATGGAAAGACCTAAATAAGTAAAAAAAATCCAAACAAAAAAAAATTGCCAGTTTCTGCATGCTCTTTAAAATAAATACAATGTTTGAATTTTTTTTTTCCAGGAAGTTCCAGCAAGTCGATGGAACCGGCAAAATCAAAGATAAAAAGAACGAAATAAAAAAGAAGACGAGAGAATGTTGAATGGATCAGTTTGATATCGATAGCAAAGAAAATTGTTTGAAGTGAAACAAAAAAAAAATACAAAACAAAAAACAAAACGTTACTTAGAATTTGATTTGCGTAATGGATTCTTCGAGTTACCAGAACGACTTCTTCTTCTTGTCTCTTTCTGTCTTTTTTTCATTTCTTATTACTTTTCGTTTACTTCTTCCGTCCTTTTACATTTAATTCGTCGTCGCTGTCCTCCTTTTTCTTATTTCCCTCCTTGTTGTTCTTCTATTTCTCCTCCTCCTCTTTCTTCTTCTAGTAGTAGTAGTATTACTAGTAGTACTACTAATATTAATACTACTAATTTTTTTTTTCATCTAATTCTCCTCCTATTTATTTATCCTTCCTCTTTATTTTCTTCCTTTTCTTTCTCGTTCTTTTTCTTGCATCTTTTCTTTTTCTCATGCTTCCTTTTTTTCTAGTTTCTTCTCGTTCTCTTTTTTTTTCGTTTTTCTAGTAATCGCTTTTTATTCTTTTTTCATTGTAGTTTGCTTCCTAATTTCTTTTTTCGCTCTGCCCTTCGTTTTTCTTTCGTTCTTCTTTTAGCTTTTATTCACATACTCATTCTCTTCTTTCTTTTTCTTTTTCTTATAAGCAACTTCTTTTTCATTTTCTTCTTCTAGTTCCTTTAATTCATTCTTCTCGTGCTCGATATTTTCCTCGGTTTAATGTCTACTTCTTCCTGTCACTATCTTATTATTATGTTTTTTGATTTTCTTCTTCCTTTCCTTCTTCTACGAATACAAATACTACAACTACTTTCAATCTTTTCATCATTTCGTTCTTTTTCCTTTCTCTTTATTTTCTTCTTTTATCACTTTCCTCTTCTTCCTTCTTCGCCCAGTTTTCTTTTTCTTCTTGAAGATCTCCATCTTCGCCTTCTTTTCTTTTACCTGCAGGCTTTATCCTCTTTTTTTTTCTTCTATTTCTTCATCATCATCATCTACCACTACAACCATCATCACCTTCTTTCCTTTTGCCTGTAGTTCTCGCCCACTTTCTTCTTCTCTACTACTGCTACTACTATTACTACTGCTATTACCCCTCCTCTTTTTGTCTTATAGTCCTCGTCCGTTATTTTCTTTATCCTTTTTCCAGTTTTCTTTTTTTTACTTTTTGAATATCTCCATCTTCGTCGTCTTTTCTTTTTCCTATAGTTCTCGTCCTCTTCTTTTACCACTACTACTGCTACAAACATCTTCGCTTTATTTCCTTTTATCTGTAGTTCTCTTCCTTTACTTCTACAACTACTACTACTACTATTATTACTCCTGTTTTGGGTTTTTTTTTTCTTCTAGTCCTCATCGTCTTTCAATGTGATCCTTCTTCTGCTCTTTCTCCTCCGTTCTAATTTTATTTCTTTACTTTAATCGAGCGTTTTTGTGAGTGGCACAGTTGGTCCAAGACAGAACGAGAAGGTGCGTGTGATGATTCAAGAAATGAAGCTCCCAAATCGCCAAGGACATATGCAAATGTGGACACATTGTGAACTGGTGCGCTTAGATCAAAGATTAAACAAGCGACTCATAGCCGAAGAACTGAAGACGAATAAAAAAAAAAAAAATTTTAAAAAAAGTAAAAAAAAAAAAGAAAAAAAGTGCGGCAGATTCTGACAGAGGACTTGAGAATGAGAAACATGTCTTCAAAGATGGTGCGTCGAATTTTGAGAATTTCATTTCTAGAATAAAATGGATGACTTAATCCAACCGTTCTTAACAAACCCCTTAATGAAGTTCGTGTTGAACGGACACGCTTCTAGTTCCTTTCACATTAATGCATTTTGTTCCTTATCTTCATCAACGACCCTCCCGATGTCATCAGTTTCAAGCTAGTTATTTATGCTGATGACATATCTATTTACTCCTGTTTTCGTAGAAAGATGGGTGACCCCATGGGAATACCAGGTGCTATAAGCTTGGATATGCGGGTAGTGTAATGGATTATGGTTCGGTATTGTTAATCGAAGAGCCGAGTTCCAATCCATTTAGGTTCGTTATATTCACTTACGCATAGATATCCTTAGGAAATGTATGAATTTACCTTTTCTTCTCCCAGCTATGGGTTAATTCAGTGATTTTCAACCCTTTTGCTGGGGCGGAAACACAAACAAACAGTCCAGTGGCTCGAGGAATCCCTGCAATAAATTGTCTTATGCAAAAAAAAAAAAAAGCTTTCAATTATTAAAATAAAATAAAAATACTCATCTTCAGATTTATTTACAAAAAAATAAAAATACAAAGACAAACTGTAAAAATATTGTAGACGTACATATGCAATTTTAATCTTGCTTCTATGGTTATTATACATGGATTAAAAAAACTTCAGTTTAAATGGATTATAAAAAAACAGCCGTAACGTTTGTTTAACCGCTAACTCAAATCAAAACAAAATTTTCTGACAAAATTTCGAAAATGTTCGAAGGGATTCAAATTTTTTTAAAAATAATTAAAAATTACTTTGATCTTTCCTCTTAATAAAAATATAAACATTTTGATGGAAAAAGTTTGTTTTATTAAGTTTGGGACATTTTTTTTATTCATACAATGCTGTTATGTTATTGATTTAGTGGAGATACCTAAACAGACATATCTGCACAGGAGAATTAAAAATTACTGTCAATCATAGTCAATTTCAGTACTTGTGTAACTTCTTGCGGAACCCCTGGGCTTTACTGGCGGAACGCTAGGGTTCAACGGAACCCTGGTTGAAAACCACTGGGTTAATTAGTAAGACATTTATCACTAAACCATCATTATCTCCTAAAATAAAATAAAAGTACGTACAAAATATTTAGATTTCAACATTAATTATCCCATTGAGGTTAATATGCCACTAAACAAAAACAATCAACATAAACGAGATCGGATTGAAAGAATGACTGCCCAAAGAACTTGGGAACGCCACTCCTATATATATCTCCAATCAGGCTAGACCCAAAATTTCAGGCTAGGTCGAGTATGAGCTGTGATTTACGAACTTCCCTGATTAAGCTAACAGGTGGGAGGTTTTCAAGCACTGTAAAAGAGGAACCGTTTCGCCAGTTAGCAACCGACGGCCACGGACAGCACTACGAAGAATAACAACCTTTTCGACTGTTGTAGCCTGACAGGAAGGAGGATTTCAAGCCCTGTAAAAGAGGAAGCGTTTCGCCAGTTAGCAACCGACGGCCACGGACAGCACTACGAAGAATAACAACCTTTTCGATTGTTGTAGCCTGACAGGAAGGAGGATTTCAAGCCCTGTAAAAGAGGAACCGTTTCGCCAGTTAGCAACCGACGGCCACGGTCAGCACTACGAAGAATAACAGCCTATCCGACTGTTGTAGCCTGACTGCTGGAAACTTCTCTCTCCAAAAGGCAGTACCTGCTCCTATTTTTAGCTGGTAGCGTGGGTAAATTACCATAACACCAACACACTCCGTTTTCATTTTTCTAAACTATTAGCAACCGCTCCTTATTTTTATAGTGAGATTCATCCGGTACAGGGCCCGAGTGCCACTCTACGTAGAGGGCTACAGAGTAAGGGATACAATAATTTAGTAACAGTCTAATCGCGATCCAAACAATATTTATTTAAAAAAATAATTATTATTATTGAATATTACTCCCTCATTTTCCCTTTCACCAGAGTTTGAATTAAAGCACTTCGTGTCCTCCCCGTGACTTGACTGACCTTCCAACCACCTGAGTGGGAATGCGCTGCTCCAGTGGAACTTAAATCTCACAATTGGAATACATTCATAAACGTTCTCAAGTTTACAAGACTTAATGAACCAATGACATCCTCGACTGTGTATATATAAACATGTGCAGCTTAATAAATCCTACTGGGTGGTCCGAAAGTCTTGTCACAACCCCCCTCTCAAGTTGTAGGAGCTCGTGTCAGCCATCTGAAATAGTGATTTTTGTTATATAGGGGTGGCAAGACTTTCGGACAACCCTGTACATTGCCTTGATAAAGTCCCTCAGAGGACGAACTAATTATATATATATATATATATATATATATATATATATATATAGTAACATAGTCAACACTTTATGCGACAGTCTGTTTCATGCTATATGCAATCGTCAGACATGACGATTGCATCTAGAAAAAAAACAACTGTCGCCATCATGTTGACTTCTATGTTCACTTTTATATTTACACACGCTCTATCTATGATATTGAGCATTTTATCCCATAAATCTAGCACTCCTTAAGACTATACTTCTTTATATATATATATATATATATGAAAGAAAATACAGAAAAAAACAAAATTCTGAATATGCATTATTAATGTTAAAAATAAAGTCGACGTCGTTTCCGGTCGGTCTTAAGTCCATCGTCTTTTGAAATTTTATGTTTTAAACATAAAAAGATGTTTACATGAAAATGTCCATGAAGATGGTCTTTAAATAGACCGAAACGTCCGACGTCGACTTTATTTTTTAACATTAATAATGCATATTCAGAATTTTGTTTTTTTCTGTATTTTTTTTCATACTGTCGGATTTATATCCATATATTTGCTATATATATATATATATATATATATATATATATAAAAAGATTACGTCTTTGTGTTTCTGGGTATTATACAGCGCCCGCATCTATAAATATGAAACTTAGGTTTTAATTTTATCTCAGATGATGGGCAATGTAAAAAAACGTCCCGACCGACAAAACGTTTTACTTAGAGAAAAAAAAAAAACAAAAATTCGAAAGTTCCTTTTTATAAATCTTGAAAAGAAGCAAAGATAAAAACAAATCCCAAATATCAGAGTTTTTATAAGACAACACGACGTCACTCGTATAAATGTCAACCTTCTACTAATTGGGGTCTTCAGATTGAATCGTTTACCGATCTTCCCCGAGCGGCTTAAAAGAAACGAAAACGTCGAATGCTGCAGGGAAGAAGTGAACAGAAATATAAACGCCGAAGATTTTTCCCTATCAAAACGCTCCACGTGAAATAGATTCCTACAATCAAATCCACAAGGTTTGATTCGATGAAATTTAACATTAAAATGAAACTTTATAAACGTCCAACACAAGCTGTTTATAGGCTGTTGACAAAAAATTTCGCTTTCTTTAATATGGCTGCTACATCAGGTCTAGTGGTCCTGTTATATATTTGGAATTTGGGCACCTCGAGGTGGTGTAATGGTTAGCAAGCTTGTCTCGCTAGAACAGTTACGACTGAGTAGTGAGTTCTATCCTCACTGGGTGCCCCCATACTTTCGGCTTTGTGCCACATCTGAGCTACGCTTGGAAAATCACTATATATTTGGAGATTCTTGACAAAATCCAAAAATGAATCTGCAATATTATCGGTCCTGATCTGGCATATCGACTTCAGTCACTTCCCCACAGCCATAACGTAGCTTTATTGCGTCTTTTCTATAAATATTGTAATGTTAATTTCCCGATGATCTTTCGTCTTTGTTTAGTTTCTTTTATATAAATTGTAATCATTGCAATGTTCATTGGGGTTTTACTTTTAAATGTTGTTATTTTTATACCCCCACCAGATAAATTGTATTTATGGGAACTAGTTTGGACTTCATAGAGATATTGAGGTATCATAGTGGCTGTAAGAATAGTAAGTAAGAATGTGTGTTATGTGTGGGTCAAT